AATTGTTTTTCTGACACTCATTAGCACTGGATCGTCTCCATCACCCCATGCTGGTCGTAAGGCAGAGTATTGACTGACAGACCACAGGCAGGCAAGGATAGTCCCACTATTAATATTTATATGTTCATCAAATAATAATGTTATGTGCTCCATATCTGGTACTGACTTTACTCTATGCATCAGGGTAAAAATTATGGAATAAATAAAACATATCTAACTCATTATCAGTTTCTATTGCTGGAAAGCAACTTGTCATCTTCATACTCAAAATGTGAAAAAAATTCATACTCCTTGAATTTTTTCCATATTTTGTCATGTTTGTGAGATTCACAGACCCAAGGTAAAGTCTAATTATCGAGCGAAAAAAAAAAAAAAGAAAACAACATATCTTGGATCGATCACTGTATTTTATTCAGCGCTGTCAGAGTGAAGGAGGTTGAATGCAAATGGATGCAGAACTTTTCAGATTTCTATTTCAAAACATTTTGAAAAAAGTTCTCCTACATGTCCACTAATTTGGTTGGTCCTTCCCTTAAAATCTCAAAATATTAATTGAAGTTTGTGGTATGGATAGTTTGGTAGGTGATTGTAAATTCATTTGTGCACAATTTTAGAGCACAAATATGAAAAAAAATGTGTGTTTATGATTTTGGACTGAATTTTTAACCTAACTTAACCTAAGCATCTTCTTAGGTTAAGAAAAAAACATTTGCAAACTTATACTTGGCTCCACACATACTATGCAGTTGGTTTAGTTGGTTTAGATAATGCCAATGCAGACATTAAGAAAACTAAAAGCAAATGTTCTGGCACTGCAATGCCAGCGAGGAAACAAAAAAAAGCCATGTAACAGTTTGGAAACGTAGTCAAAGGAAATGACTTTATTTCTTGAAACATGACCTGTGATCTGAGAAAACTTGGCCCTAATGATCACCAGGAAGCTTGCAACCCTGAGAACAAAGCACTAACTGTGACGTGTGGGAGTGACAGCATCTAGTGTTAGGTATTTTACTGCAGGAGGGACTGGTGCACTTCACAATATAGATAACAACATGAGGACAGAAGATTATGTGGAAATAGTGAAACAACATCTGAAGACATCAGCCAGGACGTTAGAGTTTGGATATAAATGGGCAAAGACCTTAAGTATACCAACTAATTCATTATAAAGTGGCTTAGTAATAACACATTCAATGTTTTGAAATGGCAAAAAATAAACAGATTGATTTTATAAAGTGCTTTTCTGGTCATACTGATTGAAATTGCAATTTTAAAGCCTAGATCTCAATCACAGAGAAGATTTTTGCCCACAGCTGAAAAGGTGTGTGCAAACTTGACTCAGTTGCACCTCTTTTGTCAGCAGGAATAAGCAAAATTTCCACCAAACTACTGTGAGAGTCTTTTGGAAGAAAACCCAATATGTTTTAGCCAAGTCAAGCACTTTGAAAGGGAATCCTACCAAATAGAGTTGTAACCCTCTGACATCGATGAAATTAAAAACAAAATAAACAAGCTTTTTCCTATTCTGGAGTTTAGCACTTATTATGAGTTAAATAGTTGCGTCTCACCTTAAATGGGAAACGTTTTATTGGCTTTAATTTCAGATGGTGAGGAAAACAGCCAAGTACCTTTTTGTACAGAGAATGCAAATATGTGCTTTAAACTGTATAAACACAAACACCTGATGCAGAAGAGATGCCAAAGATGCTAAAGGTCACAGGGAAAGTTAGAATCGTTGCAATGAGAGTTGATGATTAGAGGTGTGAGGAAAATGTTAATTTATCCCAACTGATATTGTGATCGTAATATTTATCTCTATAAACTTTGAATGATTTCCAATAATTATGTAACTTTGCATGCAAAGTAAGACCGGCTCGTCATATTACAGTTAGAAGACTGCGGTTTTTGAATTCAAATCCTGCACTGTGTGAATTTCTTCTGGAGAAGGCACACTGCTACCCCCTGGGTCCCTCAGATGTTCGTCAGAGTTTGAGTGAGAATGAATATGAGTGTTAGTAGATAAAGGGCAGCTACTGTAGGACGAATAATACGAGGGTTCTCGAGAAACAGATGCTAAAGAGTAAAAGGAAATGCAGTTCAATTATATTTGCCATCATCATCAGAATAAAACAGGAAGCTATTGTTAAAAAAAAAAAAATCATGCTTTTCAAGGCGACAACAAGTGAGGGTAAACTTGTACCTGGCATGTGCATTGTGGTTATGGTGGTGGTGGTAATCAGCGTGGTGGTAGTCTCTTCTTCCAAGGGGAACGAAGACATAGGACTCCTCGATCCGGTTTTGCCCGCGGCAGAAGAGGAGCCTAAAGCGGTGGTGAGGAGCCCTGGTGATATGGCTGTTGCTGTAGACTCAGCCATCCCAAGCCCAGGCACCGCCTGTGTCGGATTGGTGGTGGTACCTGCAAAGTTAACGGCTTCAGTTTAATGCAATTTCCCATGCGTGAGGGCCCTTCTTGGAATAAGGTACGTGCGGAACTGACAAGCAAAGTGTTTTCTGTTTTCTGTATACCTGATCCTCCAGAAACCTGTCCCAGGTACTCTTTACTTTGCAGAGCAGCGTGTATCAGCTCACCTGGTGGGTAGGAGTCTGGAGCTGACGTCGGTGAAGTATCAGACTCCGGAGTCATAAAGGTCATACCTGAAACGATCAACACTGGTTACTGCATTTGTTATTTGCAATGCAAAGAAAACACAGTGCCTTCCAAAATTGTGTATATGTCTTTAATTATTCACACTGTGTGTCATTTGTTTACATTTTATTATTTAGCGCATGTTGTGGTGATGTGAATTTCCCCTAAGCAGAATAACTGCAGTCTAGAATAAGTCAAATGTCTAAAAAAGTGGAGTTGTTACCTTTAGATTTTAAATGGAGAAAAAACAACAAGCATCAGACTGATGCAGCAAAAAGAAAAAAAAACAAAAACGTGCATGCACTGGAGAACACAAACAAAATTACCTGAAACCATGTGCATCATGGTGACAGAGAACATCACAGCGAGGTGTGCGAACCCCATGTTTGGAAATGACCTGAGAAGGTTAAAGGAAGCAGAATCCAAAGGAAGCGTTTTGTAATTTTGCACATTTCTCTGCCTTATTAATAGCTCATAGTAGCAACAAGAGGCAAAGGAATCACACAGTGGTAATGAATAGGCCAACAATGTATTAGTCACCGCAAATCTGACTGATATGTTTACATAGAACAGGCCATAATAGACTGAAATCGGATCATGTCGACATGATGCTGTAAAAGGCTCTCCTAAAGCAATTTATGCGTGGAATGAAACGTGACGTTAGAAGTCAGTATGCAAAGCATTGCCACCGACGTCGTAAATTTATAACACAGAAACACACTCGGTTTTAAGGTGTAAATATTCAGGCTTTCCCTCCTCTGCAATTTCCCATCTAAATCTGCAACAACGCGCCGAAAAATGCGCTATTCCAAAATCCAGCTAGCGAGCCCATATCGTCTCCGAAGGTTCCCCTTGAATTTCATTGTTTCCAACCTGTTAGTTGTATCAAAAATGCTCCTCCGCTGCTCTTCGAGGCGTTTCCTCTGTCAAAGATACCAGCCAGGTGTGTGACATAAATGGTGGGGCTTATTCGAGGGAGAATCACCCGGCCCTCTTTGTGCGGAGGACGATTTTTTTTTTAACATCAGTCATCACCGCTGTTGTTTCCGCAGCAACAATAAAAAGGTGCCAACTGCTTACCTGTATTCCAGGATGCTTCCACTTCCCTTTTTTCCTCTTTCTTTTCTTTACTTTTTTTAAATTCTAGTATCTCAGTTGGTTTTGCGTTGCTTAAGGCCGTAAACACTGCTGTGTTTGTACTGGTGAGATTGCCTCTAGCTGGTTACCGTGTGCTTGACGCATTCGGCTAAGATGTGAGGGCATTTGTGCTGGAGCGTCAAGTGCGCCCTAGCGGCCGAACGGTGAAACTGCAGAAGTTTACATCTCTTGTCTGCTGGAGAGCTGGAGCTGTCCACCAACACGGTGCTGAAGCTGTCAGGCGCGGAGCTCCACGGTGCATCAAGGTAATCTGACAGAGATGTTCGATCAGGCGCTAGAAAGAGATTTTTCCGCTTGCATGCGCTGCTTAATAATGCACGGCAAACATTTTGCGCCAGGAATTCCCTTGAACGGTGGATGTTTATGCCGATGTGGCGAGTAAACACGAGCCAGCTGAGCTGTGCGGGCTGGTGCAGAGCAAAGAGACAAAATGAATGCTCACGCCACTGCCACAAGCATCATTTTATGAAGCGTCCAACGCCTGCCAGTGGAGAGCATTACTGGGGTTGATGCAACAACAAGTCTGCAATGACACAAAACTCGCATGCACGTACGTTCAAACCGTGCATGCACTTTTATGTTCTGCATCAGTTTAACCGTATATTACAAACAATATAAATCTCCCCCCATGCCGTCCTTTATCACCCCTTATTTTAACGCATATATGATTCACCTTTTCTGAGATGACTAAAGGCTTGCTAAAATTTGTTCGCCTTTCAGAAACTTACATCTATGTCGAATTATACTGGGAAAAAATATAGGCTGGGCTGTTCATATCTATACTGTTTTTATTTAAAATTGCGTCATACCCACACTAAAAGTTTTGGAAAATCCAACTTATAATTGATGCATTATTCAAAAAGTACAAAAAAAAAAAAAAAAAAAAAAATTTTTCACCTAAAAATCATTTAATAATTTACATTACAAAGTAGGAGTGTTCAAACCTTTTGACGTTTTGGCCAATATCATCAAATTACAAGTAGCTGCAGGACAAAGATTATTTAACGTTTGAAATAACTAACATCACAAAAAATGTATTGTGATTTTTAACTAACTCAAAAACAAACTTACAATAACAACAGCACATACAATCTGACTGTTTTGGAGTAAAGGTGTGAATCAGCAGAGGCAATGTTGATAAAAAAACTTTTCTTTACAATATTTTTGGCAGTGATGTAATCAAAAATAATGATTTTTCTTCAATTAGTGTAATTTAAGTTATTAATAATTGTTTTATTTTGTTTTAAGATACTAAAATGTCAACCATGTCAAGTGAATTATTTTAGCTGCATCTCAAAGGAAGGAAACAGAGGCACTCTTGGCTTTGTAAACGCAAAACACTAAACAAGGTCAGTGTCAGACTCATGTTGATTAGGACAAACTTATTAAGCCCTGGGTACATGATCTCAAGTTTCCTCCTGCAACAAATCTTTCCTTACTTCTATATGACACCATGTGGCTGAGAGGGAACTACGAAGGGTCTTTGGCTCTGCGCTGGATAAGCTTCTCCCCTTAAATATTGAGGAAACTGACTCCTAGCGCATGCTGGGAAAGCCCTCAATCCATACTGACCCCAAAGGAGATTAGAGTAAAAGAAATAAACAATTGTTCTCTTTGCTGTAAACTTGTTGCATTTGCCCATTGAATATTTATCAAGCGCAAATGAAAACGTTGCATTTCATTATTAGTTATGCTTCTTAATGAACAGACTTACAAAAGTAGCAAATATAACTTACAATTTTGAGTGTAAGTTTACAGCAGATTCTTATCTTTTTAGCTAACCTACAGAGCACTGAGCAATTGCAAGAAAAACGGCCAAAGAAATTGTTCTGCAGTGAAGTTTGTAGGTGTAAAATGACAAAATCTGAAAAATGTTTCAAGGCTACAACTTTGTTTGCAATAGATGATAAGAACAGTGAAATCTAAAGTTAAGATTTCTTCACCTGTTTTGCTTGCAGTTGTTCTGCGTCACCCTCGTCTGAAGGATGGACTGGTCGATAAACACACTGCCTCTGCCTGAGTATGTTGAGCTTGGTGTCCATTCACTGAGTGGCCTTCTGTGGACTCTGCTGTTCCTATTTCTGTGGCACTGCTATCGAATTGGCTCTGACCTGCCAATCCCTGGCCATGCCGGAAAGTTAAAGTCGAGCTCAAGGCGCTCCATGATCTCCCGGAGCGGCGTGTGCATGGGAACAAAGTGCAGCGCCCGGTCTAAGTTGTCCAGAAGCGACCAGATTGCACCTTTCATTTCCATGGAAACAGCGAAGGATGAGGAGCAGGGACAGGGCTACCTCACGCCAGTGCTGAGTCATGCCTTGTTCCCTGCCCAGGCATCTGCAGAAGCCAAGAAGTTGTACGCAGCACTGCAAGAGTACGCCAAGCGTTACAGCTGGGTGGGCATGGGCCGCATTCACAAAGGCCTTCGTGAGCAGGTAAGAGACTCAGAGCTTACTGCTGAGAGTTAGGAGTCATTCACAAAATTTTGCTCAATGTTTTAGTGATATGGCTTAAAGAATTAAAGAAACATGGCAAAAAAA